TCTCCTTCCCTAGAATGGGGACATTTTCAGCAATTATTCCCTCAAAGAAACTTTCTATCCCTTTTTATCTCCCTTCTTCTTCTGTAACCCCTTCTGTTACCTGTGAATATTGTTCTGTTTGTATTGATCACACAGTTCTCTTTATATTCTTTCATTCCTAGAGATCCTTTTTCTCTCTGTACCTCAGCTTCTTTGCATTCCTGTACCCTAATTTCTATTTCATTTACTGACCCTCTACTTCATCTAATCTGCTTTTAAATTCCTCCATTGTATGTACCTCCTTCATTTCAGGTACTGTATTTCTCAAACTTTCTGTCTCTTTCTTGAATTCCTCCCTGAGGTCTTGAATATTTTTCTGTAGCTTTGTGAGCTTGTTTATGATTTTTATTTTGAAATGTTTTTCAAGAATATTGGTGAGTTCAGTTTCACTTGGCCCTCTTCCTCTTGTTTGTGGGATTTGGGTTTGTAACAAGTTCTTTTCACATTTCCTATTTGTAATAATAACTTGGTGTAGGTGGCACCCTCTAGTGCCCAGACGCTCTACTTTCTGGAGCTGCTTAGCCCCTGGAGTGATGGTGGGGGGTGCAGGTGAAAGGTGCTGTTGCCTGCTGGGAGGAAAGAGCTCTTTCCTGCTTCCCAGCTGCAGTGCCTACCTCCACTGCATGGGCCAGTGATCTGATAGTGCAGGGAGCAGCCTCTCTGCTATGCCCCTGTAGCTGCCATGGGCAGGGCCACCCTCTGGCTGGCCGGGTGCAATACTGGGGCCTGGTTTGAGAGCTGGTGCTGGCTGGGATGAGGGAGTGGCAGGCTGCATATCATGGTTGGGGGCCTCAGAGCTGCATTGCCAGCCAGGGTGATGGAGTGCCTACAGCTCTGGAAGGTTCCCAACCTACTGGGCTGAGTGCACTGGGACAATTTTGTCCACTTGTCCTTTCTCCAGAGCAGTAAGCTCTGTGCAGTCCTTGCCCCTTAGCAGCCCTCTTGCTCTTGGGAAGTCTCTCAGGTTGCCTGCCTTTGTTTTGATCCAGAGCAGCTGGTTATGGGTACCCGTTCTCCACAAGCGGCTGGAATCTCAGTCTCTCCAAGTATCCTGCCTGTCTTAGCTTTCTACCCCCACAGATTTCCAGAGCACCATGTAATGTAGGTTGGTGCTCCCAGAGCAGATCTCCAGGGCTGGGTGGTCAGCAGGCCTCTACCTTCTCCCTGCTCCATTTCTCTGCCTCGTGCCAGTGAGCTGGGGTGGGGAAGGGCTTGGATCACTCTGGAACACAGCTTTGGCACTTTACCCTTTTCCGTGAGGTCTGCTCTTTTCCCCAGATGCAGGCAGTCTGGGGCGGCCTTCTTTCCTGTTGCTCTTTCAGTATTAGTTGTATTTGCTATATTTTCATATTATATATGGTTTGGGGATGAGGTTTCTGTCTCATGTCTCACACCATCTTTAAGTTCTTAAATAATCTTTCTTTTATTTACCAACTAACTTTAGAACAAAATGACTGGACTTCTAGCGATGGTATGGAAGTCAATGAAAACCACCTGATAGCTCCAGTGTAGATATTTGTATGTAAATAATTTAAAGGGAGGTGTGGAATACTGTAAGGCCATGCTCATTTTTTTCCCAGAATGACTAATCAACTAGCTAATTAAAAATAGCCTTTCCAGAAGCACTTTTGGCATTTGTCTAGTGGGGCACTATCTCCAGAACTGATTGACCCAGGAGAATGGATTCCCAGATTAATGACCACATCCAGGAGGTCAGACTTAATTTCATTGCAAAAGGTTTCTTTTCTTCTGCTTTAGGTTTTAAGACTGGAAGAATTTATCCAACAGAATAAAGTACATCCCCAAGGAGATGAGGAAAATTCCCAGGAATTGGACTGCCATCTCTGCAGCATTTTAGAAACCCAGGTAACCTCTAGCTTTTTCTGCTTTAATTGTGTATGTTTCTATTCTCCATTTCAGCACTTTGGTGTCCCCAGCGACACAAGCAGGCATTAATGGGCTCTTTTATTTTCCCCATCAGCACTGCCAAAATGCCTGAAAAAAGAAAAATCACCACACAGTCCATTTGCTAAAACCACAAAGAGATTAGAGTCCTGAGTAATTATCTGCATGGTCTGTAAATGAACAAGGCCTGTTGGATGAACCTTCTCCCCCCTCCATGAGCATCCTGTCTGGAGGATAAAGGGGATGCACTGGAGCCGGGCCCTTGGTTCCCCAGCACAAACCATGACCATGACGCCCGCCTGCTGCCTCCCTTGGGGTGTCTGTGAGACCAGTTACCTCACACTAGCCCTCCTGTGTGATGTTGCCCTGTAGCAATGCTGCTCCAGGGCAGAAGCTGGTCCCTGTTTCCCTCCATCTGGCTCCAGCTAGGGTGTTTTATTTTAAGAGGGCTGCCATGGCGCATACCACACATTTGGAGACTTATGCTGCGGAGACGTAGTCTCACGGTTTGGGAGGCTGCAAGTCCAGAATCAAGGTGTCGAAGGCTTGGTTCTCCTGGAGGCTCTGAGGGAGAATGTGCTCATGCCTCTCCCCCAGCTCCTGATGGCTGCTGGCGGTCCTTGGAGTTCCGTGGCTTGTAACTGCATCACCCCCATCTCTGCCTCTGTCTTAGCCTCATCTTGACCAATTATATCTGCAAAAACCCTATTTCCAAACACGGTCACATTCACAGGTACTGGGGGTTAGGACTGTGACATATCTTTCTTGGGGGCACAATTTAACCCAAAACATAGGCGTTCATTTAACATGGCATCAGAAACATACATGATTCCCGAGGAGGTGGTGTTGGAGCACCCTGGCTTGAATGACCCTCTTGATTGCTCTTTCAGCTTCTCTCGTAACTTTTGCATGTGGAGCCATCAAAAACCCACAACACTAAATTTTATTTTATTGCTGCTCCAATTTTTAGTCCTCTTCAGACTCCCAGTGGGAAAACACTTTTAGGGGGTCTCGATCTCACCACTCCTAATCCATCTCCTAGTCACCATTTCCATTTACCTGAGTGTCCATGGGAACTGTAGTTTCTCTTCCTTGACCCCAGTCTTCCAGGCTTGGGCCCTGGTCCTGCCAACAGGCCCCTGGTCTGCCCCACTGGGACGATCCATGCTTAACCACATATTTACCAGGGAAAGATTGAGCCAAAAATCTGATGATCTGGATTTGAAATAATTACATTCGTATGGGATCTAGTCAGTTACAAAGCATTATTCCCATCTTTGACTATATTGGAGTTTTACAGCAAACCTGTAATGTACCCATTTTACAGAAGGGGAAACTCAAGGACAGAGCAGTTTAGGTGACTTACCCTCAGTCCCAGGCGGGTAAGCAGCCGAGCCAGAACAGAACTCCCACTCTATGTAAGAGTCTCACCAGGCCCAGGATGCCTTCCAGATAAAATAAGCCCCAGCTGTGTGTCTTGGGGTTGAGGAGAATGGCCAGGACCCTACATTTCCTCCTTTGATACCCAGACTGGGAGAGAATCCGTGAGCAGCCCCCATTGTCCCGAGTAAGCCTGGAAATGCCTAAAGGAGCAGACACCCTGTTCATCAGGGCTGCCCTTCCTCTCTGAGGATGTCTGCCTGAGAAAGGGCAGCTGTTGTCATTCTCCCTCAGCTTCTCAGGATCCAGCCTTGTGAGGCAGGGCTCTGCGGGAAGAACTCCCGGCCCCAGGGAGAGCTGAACTCCCCACCAGGCCTCTGTGGGACTTCCCAGAAAGGTTCTCATAAAATACTTGAATATTTCTCTGCTCCTCAAAGTGACTGTGACAGGGGGATGGGACTAAGTTAGCTGAAATCCTGAGTGATGAGATTTCAGTTAAAATAAGGTTGACAAGCTCAGGAAGATTGTCCAACAGGAGGGAACAAACACACCTAAAAGTACTAGGTCTCTCCCAGGGCAGATGAACAAGGGCCGGAGCTATCACAGCAGCTCAGGGCCCCTCAGCCTCCACATTGGACTTTGGGGCTGGACAGTTCCTTGTTGGGCAGCTGTCCTGCCCATTGTAAGCGACTTAGTAGCTTCCTGGCCTCTACCCACTGAATGCCAAAAGCGCCTCCCCAGTCAGAATACTCCAAACAAAAATATCTCCAGACATTGCCAAATGTGTTCTGGGGACAAAAGTGCCCCCAGTTGAGAACTACCAATGTAGCTAAAAGGGCAAGTCCTGGAAAAGTTCAAAATACAAGTGCTTGTTGAGAATCATGGGTTGATTCATCATGAAACTCAGCCCTCATCTGACCCTCCTCCATCTGGAACATTATCCCTCATGAACCCAGCTCTGGAGAGATACAAACCCCTTCTACATAGGGTTGCAGGAGGAACCTTGATGAGTGTCATTGATTCAACTCAATATTCATTCATTCTGCAGTCATTTGTGGAATAAATACTTAGGGTGTGCCAGCCTCTGAGCTAGATGCTAGAGGGGAGACATATTCATAAACAAATAGCACTAAAACAGTGTGGGACATTTAGGTGACTACTATGTACTTTGCAGGTAAATTTTTTTTTCAAATAGCTAATCCACGTATGTGGCAGAGAATTCAAAAAGTATATATAAATGTACACAGTGAGACGTGTCCCTCCTCCCCCTATTTCCCTATTTGTCTTGTTTTATCTCTTCCTGTACATCCTTTCAGAGCTGTACTGTGCATATGCATGCATAATTCTGAATTATTACTTCTACAAGTGATAACGTTCTCTCCTATACTCTGCTTTTGCTAACTTAAATTTTTATACCTTGGAGATTGTAATACATCAGAGCACCTCCACATCAACTTAATTTTTTTAAAAACTATCTAGTGTCCCTTGTACAGGAAAACCATAATAAATTTAACCTTTCTCTTGTGATGGATTTTTAGGTTGTTTTTCTCTCTTACAGGTAGTACTTCAGTAGATAGCACTGTAGAGAGATAGAGTGCAGCATAGTGGTTAGGCGAGCTCCCCCCTGAACCACACGCCTGGGTTCTTAGAGAATTGTGGACCAATAATTTAAAGTCTCATGGCTTGAGCTTGGTCATCTGTGAAGCTGGGATGAGGCACCACCTAGCTCAGAGGGTTTTTGTGGGGTTGATGTGTGAACAGTGTTGGCAACAGCACCCAGCATGTGCAAATGCTCAGTAGGTGCTGACTCTCACGATTGTAGAATTTGCTGGGTGCAATGGTATGTGCATTTTTAACTTGACTAGAGATGCCCGTTGCCTTCCACTGACGATGCTCTGATGCACACGGAAGCATGCGCGAGCGTCTGTTTCCCCCCAGCCTCACCAACACAGTGCTACCAAACTTTCTGAAGGTGGCTGCTCAGAGAAAACTTATAACTAAGTTCACATGTTTTTGGCAAGCCAACTATATGCCAGCCGAGTGAGAAGAAGCTTCGCCCAGGTCCTGGAGACACCGTCTAGAGGATTTCCAGGCTGGTGCGGACTACATGTGAGCAGCACACTGCCCTGTGGAGATACTTCCAGCGACAGGATGCTGCCAGGGTCAGAGGTCACACAGAGGAGGCTGGGCGGGGCTGAACAATCCGATGTCGGATGGGGACGGAAATGGATGCCAGAACAAGGTGTTGACTGACAGCTTCCCCAAAGATGTTCTTGCTGGACTGAAGGCTCTAACATTTCAGTTTGTTCAAGACTCAGTATTATTAGTTTAGGTCCTTATCTGTCTGCCAAAGTATTTCAGTGAGCCAAGGGAGATATAAATAATAACACCATTGAGAGCAGACTTTTCACTCCACTCCCAGAATACACAGAGAGAGGGTTGCCGTGCCTGGGTGTGGCTCTCCCCACGGAAGTTGGCTGGGACTTCACTGAACCTTGTCCTGGGCTCTCATGTCTAGTCACTTTGACTCTCTTAGATTCATAGTTTTATTCATTGGCTTCCAGAAAACCATTTCAGTCTTGCTAATTCTAATTCTGAAGGAAAACTTTCTTTCTGGAAGACAGTCTGGTGCCTGGAACACAGTGAGCTGGGGGCAGAGAAGGGGTGCAGGTTTCATAGATTCCTTTGCTTGCCCTTTTCCTTCTGGAGAGTCATTTGTGATCATTACTATTCAAGTCATTTTGCCTTAGCAAGTATTTATGAGTGTTATCACTGTGCAAGGCTCAGGGCTGGATGCTGGGGTGAATGAGGCGCAGCTCTGGTTCTTGCAGAGCTCCATGGAGCTTAAATTACTTAAATAACCCGGTATGATAAATGCTGTAATCATGGCAGGAAGGTTCCTCTGCAGCCAATAGGGAGGGATGGAGAGGAGAGGGAGGCTTCTGCCCGGGATGTCCGGGAAGTTTTCATAGGCGAGTGACTTCTGCTGCCCTCTGCCTGGATTCTGAAGTTGGACATGACTTCACCAGGAGGGGGCGAGGCAGAGGAGAAAGCACAAGGAAGGGTCCCGAGGCGGAACTGCTGTGCCCAGCGGGAAGGGACACAGGAGCACTCCAAAGCTCCTCCAGGCCTGAGCGTCCCCGGTTCACGGGAGGTCCTGGGTGGTTTGACAGGGCACGCATTGCACTGTACCATAGCTGAAGGATCGCATAAATCCGAGGGAATCAGCTCTCCTGAGGATGGGCAGACAAATAATCACTGACCCCTTTTAAACTGTGATGTCCCCTCCGTCTGTGAGCTGATGGGTCTGGTTTCACCTGACATAGAATAGGGCGTGCTGCCCTGGAGATTCACTCCACGGAGAGATTCCTGGCTGAGCATCAGGCTGAGTTCTGCTGGAGCCCAGGAAGACAGCACAGGGAGGGCAACAGCTCTGGTCTAAAGTGTAGGACATGGATTCTGCTCCAGCTTTACCCCAGACCTGCTTGGAGACCTCAGACAAGGCCAAAAACCTTTCTCAGATCAGTTTCCTCATTTCTCCAAATGACAAACACAGATAAGGCCCTGAATATGTGCCAAGA